CCTCCCCCCCGGCCCGGTGGCCGGTGAGTGCTGTACCTGCATGAGCACTGCTCCGACGGTGGAGCTCCCCACGCCGAACTGGTTCCTGACGGATCGGTAGCTGTCCGGTGTGGAGAGCTTCCAGAGATGGCCACCCGCTTCTGGAGGGGGATTGCCAGCCTCATGCAAGCTCCAGGAAGGTGTCCTTCATCCTGAAGTTCTGGGTCCACATGCGGTCCCACCAGTCGCTGTGGGTGTCCAGACACCAGATGCGGTAGGGCATGCTGGCATCTAGGTGCTGCTGCCACTCCTCCACGACCCCTGGGGAGGCCAGGGAGAGAGACAGGGGGCTAACATGCACCAGATGGTGCAAGGCAGCCTCCACCCATTGCTGGCAGGCTTGCAGCAGCAAGTCTAAAAACTGGAGCAGCATGCCCAGGGCGAGCTCTGGCTCCATGTTGCCAACTGCAGCGGTGGACCCAATGGGAAGTACCGACACAGGCAGGAACAGAGGAAAGCGCTTTGCTGTGCCTCGGCGAGGTTGGCAAGCAAGCGGAAAAGGTGAGAACCGGCTGTCCAGGAGGATCCTTTTAAGCACAAGCCTCAGATAGCAACTACTGACCTGATGCCCTGCCGGAACCGGTTTCAGCTGCCCTTAAATGTGACCCAGCATCCAATCAGTGTGGACACGTTAGTTTGAATTATCAAAATGCTAATTCAAATTAGTTTTTAAGTCTAGATGCGCTAATTCGAATTAGCTAACTAAGTTAGTGCGAATTAGTGCTGTCGTGTAGACATTCCCACAGAGAGCAGAAGGGCACCCACTTGAGCAGGGAGAGGAAATTGAAAAAAGAAGAGGTGAAAACGTTATCAAGTTTGTTAGCCCAGCCCGCTTGGGGAGTTGAGAGAGAGGAAATTCTGGGGAGATCCTTGGGTGATGGCCCCCGGTGATGCTGAGGATGGTGATGGTGAGGAGGAAGATGATGGATAATATTTCAGGTTGCTCTCTGTCACAGCTCACAAGTCGTGCCAACACTTGGCCCCTCGGCTCCTGGGAGGAACCTCCCTCTCCAGAGCGGCAGCCCCTTCTCGGGGATCCCACTCCCCTCCAGCGGCAGTGAGACGGCCCTTTCTCAGGGAGTCCACTCCAGTGCAGCAACCCTCTCTTGGGGGCCCACTCTCACCTGGGGGGGTCCGCCCCTCCGCCTCCGGGACGGTGCCACTCAGAGCCTTCAGCCACCTGCATCTGCCGTGAGCCCCCTTGGGGGGTCCCCTCCCTCTGGACCCCGGGGCCTCCACTCCCAAAGGGAACAGTGCCCCCCTGTTCTCTAGACCAGAGCGACTATCAGCCAGCACAAAACAGGAGGGTTTATTGAGCTTTGAACAGCAGCGGGTCTCTCAGGCCAGTAGGCCTGGCTCCTCAGCCCACACATCAGCCTCCCGCTGCAGCCAGCTGAGCTCTGCCTGCTCTGCCCTCAGTCCCCAAAACACAGCCCCCAGTCTCCCAGCAGAGCCTCCAATATCCCCAGCCACAGCCCCTCCCCGTCCATTGTCTTCTCCCCAGGTAAGAGGGTCACTTAGCCCCTCTCTTCTCTGCCTCCTTTCATCCCCTCACTGGGATCAGCTGGGCTGGTCTCTGGGGTCCCTCTCTGCAGCCCAATGTCATCAGGTCAGAACTGGCTCTGTCCTCCAAGCAGGGTCGGGGTCACCAGGGTGCCAGACACCAGGGCTCCAACTCTGGGCTGTTCTCTGAAACAACAAACTCCCCCCCTTTGTCACATTAAACTGGTAACTCCTGGGCACTGAGTGCCCCCCTGTATGCAACACCCTTCTTGGAGCCCCCAAAACTCCCCACTTCCTCACACTCTCCAAGGGCCGGGTGAGTATCTGGATGTGCTGATGCATGTTCTGACTGGCCTCTCCCTCCCTGGCTGGGTTTGTGACTTTGCCAAATGGATGAACTGGTGCCATATGGAAGGGATCCTACAGTGTTGCAGCTGCGCACATCAGGGTTCCCCATCAGGATTCCTGCAAGTTGAGCACTCGCCATTACCCCCTTATCACGGACGTTGTAATGAACAGAAATAGGAAGTGATTTATTTCTTGGCTGATAAATCTCCTAATGCCCGACATCACTGAGTCTGTCCTTCTGGTGTTAACACAGAGATAATATTTATTTATCCCACAGACTCAACCCTGGTTCAATCATATTTTACACTTTTTACAATCTTGGGAAGCTGTTGCTGTCTGAGCGCAGGCACTGTAACTAGTACCACAAACTCATTCTTGACAAGTTCAGTGCATAAGAAAATTCATGAATATTTAGTGATTTGACATTTCTGGATTCATGCTGTAGAGAAGGCACTGTGATCACAAACACTCGGGTAGCTGAGCCGGGCTGTACACACACACACCAGGGCTGTACACACACACACCAGAGCTGTTCATACACACACCAGGGCTGTACACACATACACCAGGGCTGTTCACATACACACCAGGGCTGTACACACATACACCAGGGCTGTACACACACACACCAGGGCTGTTCACACACATACCAGGGCTGTTCACACACACACCAGGGCTGTACACACACACCAGGGCTGTACACACACATACCAGCCTGGGCCTTGCCCTTTTATGGAGCTCAGTGTGGAGTCCCAGGCCCAAGCCTGGCTCACAGCGCATTCGGCCCAGCTTTGTCTGGGGAAGGGCTGGCTGGCGGGAGGCTGGATGCAGCGACTGCAGAATTTCTGACACTCCCTGGGCTGGGGATTTCAAACACACTTGTGGAGGGACCTAGAGCAGAGCTGGGATGCTCCTAGGGCAGCAGCGCCCTGCATAGCACCCAGGTCTGTGATGCCGATCGGGCAAGGGCAGGGGAGAGAGCCAGGGCTGGGATGCAGCACCAGGCTGCATAATGTGACATTTCCTCACCTGAAGGGCCTAGGAGTCAAGGCAGCCCCTTCGGAAGGGCAGAAGCAATAAACTGTGAGCAAAGGAGCGGAGCATTGAGAAAGTGCACAGGAAGGGAACTTGCTTGCACAAGGAGCTGCAGCATGGAAGATGGAGACCACTAAATCATTTCTGAACCTCTCCAGTGCTGGACCCTCCATTACTGTGCTGGGCAGTTTTCTCCGTTTCCAGAGCCTGTTGTGTTAGCTCTCTAGGACATGTGTCTAATGCCTAGTGCGAATGTCTGTTCTTCTCCAGCCCATGTTGGATCCTATCTCAACAGGATGGACATTATAAAGGGAGCCCTGGACTCGTGGTAAGAAAAGAGTTTTGCATCACACACATTGAGGGGGTGGGCAGGGAGGAAGAGGAGTGTTTGAGTCATGTAGCTAAGCCCAGAATGGCCCATAGGCCGACAGCTTCATAGATGGCTCTGCAGGCAGCTCTCAGTAGACAGTATCTTGTGTCTCCTTCTCACTTCCTGATGGTTGGGTGGTGGGACGTCTGGGTTCTTCTCAGAGCTCCTGCTCCTCAATGGTCCTTTCCTACTAAGAGGCCTGAAAGACTCAGGAGGCCACTCTGTTCAGTGGGGATTTCTACTCAATAGTGCAGTGCACTCCTCTAGAGTTCATTGTTCTCCTTATAGCACTGGCTCCACCTTGCTTTGATTGCCAATGAATTATCCTTCCCCTTAGTGATAGAAATGTAGCCGTGTTAGTCTGGTGTAGCTGAAAGAAAATACAGGACAATGTAGCACTTTAAAGACTAACAAGATGGTTTATTAGGTGATGAGCTTTCGTGGGCCAGACCCACTTCCTCAGATCAAATAGTGGAAGAAAATAGTCACAACCATATATACCAAAGGATACAATTTAAAAAATGAACACATATGAAAAGGACAAATCACATTTCAGAACAGAAGGGGGATGCGGGGGTGGGTGGGGGGAGGTAAATGTCTGTGAGCTAATGGTATTAGAGGTGATAATTGGGGAAGCTATCTTTGTAATGGGTAAGATCGTTAGGGTCTTTGTTGAGACCGACACGTAGAGTGCATCCTCCCCCTTAGGAACTCCCTGGCTTAGTGCCTTAGCTTACACATAGAACAGCAGAGCAAACACAACCAATGCTCCATCCACTGCTAATATTTTATTGTTTCCATTTCACTTGGGATGAAGGCTCCATTCAGGCCCAGCCCAGGTCTCCACAGCAAATTTGCCACTTCCCTCTTGCCCCCCACCTACTTGTTTATCCCCTCTGACCTTTCCACATATTTCACTCACTCCACTGGTCATTATTTATATAATTTAGTTTACAAAAGAGAAGAGTGAGGGGGAATTTTAGAGCAGCCTTCAGCTACCTGAAGAGGGATTCCAAAGAGGATCTGTTCTCAGTGGTGGCAGATGGCAGAACAAGGAGCAATGGTCTCAAGTTACAATGGGGGAGTTTGAGCTTGACTATTAGGACAAGCTATATCCCTAGGCGGGTGGTGAAGCACTGGGCTGGGTTCCCTAGGATATGGGATGGAATCTCCATCCCTAGAGGTGTTTAAGTCTCGGCTTGACAAAGCCCTGGCTGGGCTGATTGAGTTGGGGTTGGTCCTGCCTTGGGCAGGGGCTTGGACATAATGACTGCTGAGGTCTCTTCCAGCCTTATGACTGTATGATTTTATGATTTATTTCCTTTGCAGGTTCAGTAGTTGATGGTAGATATAGTCCTGGAGATCCATGGATAGCTCTTTAATATCTACAGGTATTTCCCATCTGCAGATGTGGATGTGGTTATCCATGGATTATTTTTGAGGATGCGGATGCAGAGACAGATCATTATCTGAACAGGGCTCAGAAGTTATAAAGTCAGGAGTGTACGTTCACTAAATGTGCTCATTTGATTTCTCAAAGAATCTAAGAACAGTGTGATGGAAATTGACTTTTATTTAGATTTTTTTCATGCAAATGTTTCCCATTAATTTTTGTGGCAGGTTTACCAAAGGTCATCCTTTTGCAAATGGCAAACCTCAGTTCACAAATGAGATGCTTCAAACCAATGCTAATGAATTTCCCTCTTTCACACTTTCCATTCTCTAATATCTCCTGCTGCATGAGGAGATGGCCTTCCCTACAGTGTTTCGAAAGGCTCCCTTCACCTCTTTGTTCCTCAGACTGTATATTATGGGATTCAACATTGGTGTCACAACTGTGTGCATGAGGGAAATCAACTGATCACTCTCTGGGGTGGAGCTTGACTTGAGTTTCAGGTCACTCAAAAGGGCTGCTCCATAGAGCAAAGTCACCACTGTGAGGTGGGAGGAGCAGGTGGAGAAGGCTTTACGCCTCCCCTCTACTGACGGCAGCTTGAGGATGGTGGAGATGATGCGGATGTAGGACAGGACTATCAGTAAAAAGGGGCCTATTACAAAGAGCACCAGCACAGACAAGCCAAAGATCACATTCTTCCATGGGTCTGTACAGAGCATCTTCTGTAATGGCTCGGTGTAGCAGAAATAATGGGGGATGTATTTGGAGCCACAGAAGGGCAGGCTGAAGATCCACACGGTATGAACTATTGCCACTGAGATGCCGATGCCCCATGAAGCACCCGCGAGCAGCGCACACACCCGGCTGTTCATGATGGTGGTGTAGTGCAAGGGGTGGCATATGGCTACATAGCGGTCGTAAGCCATGCCTCCGAGAAGACAGCATGTTGCAAGGCCTGTGAGTACGAAGAAGTACAACTGGGCAGCACAGCCCAAGAGGGAGATGGTCTTTTCCTCCACCAGGAAGTGAACCAGCAGCTGAGGGGTCACGCTGGTGGTGCAGCAGATTTCCAAGACAGACAGGTTCACCAGGAAGAAATACATGGGGGTGTGGAGGGAGGGGTTGAGCTTTATCAGCAGGATAATGAGCAGGTTCCCAAACAGGGTGAGCAGGTAGGTGACAAGAACCACTGCAAACAGAAGGATTTGCAGCTTGTTTAGGTAGGAAATCCCTACCAAGAAGAAGACATCAGGGATGGTCTGGTTCTCTGCAGAGTAGCTCTCAAAATTGGTCATCTGTAGGGGTGACAAAAACAGACACTAAATGTGAGGCAAACCCAAAAAGTGTCTGTGAATCAAAGAATGCGAAATGGCTTAGTACCATCGGGGCCCAATTATCATCAGGGAGCAGCTGGTGTTGCTGTTTGCACCTGAATCAAGCAGCTCAGCTGGAAATATGACCCTTTGACACCAGTGGAGCTATAGCTGATCTGTAAGAAATGGGGATGTGGCAAATTGACTCTAAAGGAGCCAGACCACGGCCAGTGTCAGGAAATCTATCTCTCCTCTAGCAGCACAAGTTGTTTCTGTCTCTCTAGACTGCAGGGGGTTTTTGTTTTTGTTTTTTGAAAAACATTTGTTTTTCCAAAAAATCTTCACTTATGTCAACACTGCTATTGCGTTCTTTCAAAAGAAAATTGAAAGAACAGAGGGGGTTTTCTGACATTGGTAAACCTCATGCTAGGAAGAAGAATGCCTTTTCCCAAAGAGCTCTTTCAGAAGAAGGCATGTGTATGGGGAAAAGGGATTTCTTTTGGAAGAGGAGGAAAGATGGGCCTTAATTCTTTGTAGAACAAGGTATACAGGGCTCCCCAAAAGAAAATGTCTGCTCTTCTGCAAAAAAAAAAAAGTGGAAGAGCAAACATGTTCCCTGGACACGGCATGGTTTTTCCGAGATACCTCTGGTATCCTGGAAAATCCCCGCAGTCTAGACATACCCAGAATGACGGGTTTCAGAGAGATTCATGTCAACTCTTGTGAGTTGCAACTTTGTTCTTCAGACGCATGAAGTGAAAAAAAAAGAAACAGAGATCAGGGGTACAGAGATGGGAGTGGTATATCAGAGCCAATTCAGTCAGGCTATGTCTAACACTGTGGGATTCTTGTGCAAGAAGCCTTTTGCGCAAGAGTTTTTGCAAAAAAACTTGCACAAGAGCACGTCCACACCTCAAAGCACATTGCAAAAGGGATGTGCTCTTGTGCAAGACAGCGGCCACAGTGCATGCATGCTCTTGTTCAAGAAAGTTCAGATGGTCATTACCAGAATGGCAATCAGAGCACAAGAAACCCCTGCGAAGTGTCCACTCTTGCGCAAAAAGGTGTTGTGCCTCGTAAAAGGAGGTATATCTACACTGCAAAAAGCCCTCTGTTCTGCCATTTTAGTGTTGATTTACTTGCGCAAAAGCACACTTGAGGCGTGGATGCTCTATAGATGTAGATGTAGCCTCAGACTGGCTGTGGATAAAAAAGTGAGAATACCTAAAGTGTAAAATTATATATAGTAATGAGTGAGCCATTCCCAGTTCCTATTCAGACCTATGGTGATGGCGTCAAATTTCAATAGGATTTCTAGCTGATCTGATTCTGATTCATGTTGCAGCCTGTTTCTGGAGGATTTTGTTTTATTTTTTTGGTTTTTTGATTGAGGTTGGCAACTTTCAGCTAAGTAACTGTGTACCTAGGGAGGTGAAAATGTTCTCCCACTGCTTCTTGTACATTACCATTCTTGGTGTCTGATTTGTTTCTGGTTTCTCCCTTCTCTTTTTTTTAACGCTTCTTTGTTCCCTAAACCTCATCATCATATGACAGGATATATCACATTTGGAGATGTGCAGGAGAACGAGCCTTGCATGGCATGGCTGGTGTGCTTCAGTCCTATGATGGTGTCACTGCTTTAGATGATGTAACATGCCCGTCTCTATTTCCTACTATCTGTTTCCTTTTCTCTCACTTCATGTGTCTGATGAAGTGAGGTGCAACTCAGAAAAGCTTCTGCCATAATGAAACTGTTAATCTTCATGGTGCAACCAGATTCCTTTTGTTCTTTTTGAGAATGTCACTGTAAAGGCGGGTTCACCACATGTGATTTCTCAATGAGGGCAAATCCTGATCTCACTTGTATCTCAACCACAAGAACAGTGACATGAAGGCCAGTGTTCCCGCTGGAATCACCACGCTCCAAGGCGAGGGCTGCGCACATCAGGAAACTGGTGCTGCTCAGTCCAACATGTTTGAAGCTTCTGAGGGATCAGACACATGGTGGATCTTAGAAACAATGTGGGATTTGGGTTTTTCATGTACTATGAAATGGTCCCCAAGTGTAACAGCACAATTTAAATTATTCTGCCATAAGAGGAGCACCCTCAATACATTGTTTTCAAACAGGAACCCTCCCCCCCAAACATAAACAAAAGCACCCACCAAATCACACAAACACCTCCCCCCAAAAAACAAACAAAAAAAGCCACACACACGCACACACACATACACACACACACACACACACACACACACACACACAAAGCCTAGGGCCAATGAACATTTTTACAGCTCTGGAGGTGTGGAAAGAGCTACCATGATTTACACCATTTGTGAATTTGTATAATAACTTTTATAAGCAATATAGAATCCCAGGGCTGGAAGAGACCTCAGGAGTCACTGAATCCAGCCCCTGCCCAAAGCAGAACCACCCCCGAATCAACCATCCCAGCCAGGGCTTTGTCAAACCAGGATTTTAAAACCTCTCAGGATGGAAATTCTAACCCCTCCTTAGGTAACCCATCCCAGTGCTCCCCCACCATCCTAGAGAAATAGTTTTGCCTAATATCCAAACTAGACCTCACCCACTGTAACTTGAGCCCATTGCTCCTCATTCTGCCATCCGTCACCACTGAGAACAGCCTCTCTCCAGCCTCTTTGGAAACTCTCTTTCTGAAACTGAAGGCTGCTGTCAAATCTCCCCTCACTCTTTTCTTCTGCAGACTAAACAAACCCAAATCCTGCAGTCCTTCCATGTAGGTCATGTGCTCCAGCCCCTAATCATTTTGGTTGCCCTCTGCTGGACTCTCTCCAATGCATCCACATCCTTTCTGTAGTGGGGGGTCCAGAACGGGACACAATACTACAGATGAGGCCTCACCAGTGCCAAATAAAGGGGAATAATCACTTCTCTAGATATGCTGGCAATGCTCCTCCTAATGCACCTTAATATGCCATTAGCATTCTTGGCTACAAGGGCGCCCTGTTGACTCATCTCCAGCTTCTCATCCACTGTAACCCCCAGGTCCTATTCTGCAGAACTGCTACTTAGCCATTCAGTCCCCAGCCTGTAACAATGCTTGGGATTCTTCTGTCCCAAGCTCAGCTCTTGTCCTTGTGAAACCTCATCAGATTTCTTTTGGCCCAATCCTCTAATCTGTCTAGGTCACTCTGGACCCTATCCCTGTCCTCCAACGTATCTACCTCTCCCCCTAGTTTAGTGTCATCTGCAAACTTGCTGAGGGTGTAATCCATCCCCTCAGCCAGGGCATTAATAAAGATGTTGAACAAAATCATCCCTATAACCAATCATTGGGGTGCTCCACTTGAAAACAACTTCCAACCTGACATCAAGTCATTGATCACTACCCGTTGGGCCCGATACGCCTACTTAGCCATTCAGTCCCCAGCCTGTAACAATGCTTGGGATTCTTCTGTCCCAAGCTCAGCTCTTGTCCTTGTGAAACCTCATCAGATTTCTTTTGGCCCAATCCTCTAATCTGTCTAGGTCACTCTGGACCCTATCCCTGTCCTCCAACGTATCTACCTCTCCCCCTAGTTTAGTGTCATCTGCAAACTTGCTGAGGGTGTAATCCATCCCCTCAGCCAGGGCATTAATAAAGATGTTGAACAAAATCATCCCTATAACCAATCATTGGGGTGCTCCACTTGAAAACAACTTCCAACCTGACATCAAGTCATTGATCACTACCCGTTGGGCCCGATAGTCTAGCCAGATTTCTATCCACCTTACAATCCATTTATCCAATCCATACTTCCTTAACTTCCTGGCAAGAATATTGTGGGAGACCGTATCAAAAGCCTTGCTAAAGTCAAGGTATATCACATCCTCTGACTTTCCCATGTCCACAGAGCCAATTACCTCATCATAGAAGCTAATCAGATCGGTCAGGCGTGACTTGTTGTTGATGAATCCAAGCCAATTCCTCCTGATCACATCCCCTCTTCCAAGTGCTTCAAAATCCGGCCCCATGCATTTGTGTATGTCTAGCTTTTCTAAATAGTTCTTAACCTGTTCTTTCTCCACCAAGGGCTGTCCAGCCTAGTGCATTTGTCTGGGAGCTGACCTTGTCTGTGAAGACAGAGGCAAAAAAAGCATCGAGTCCTTCAGCTTTTGCCACATTATCTTTCACTAGGTTATCTCCCTCATCCAGAAAGGGCCCTATGCCCTCTCTGATCACCTTCTTAAGAAGTAAGATCCTATAATATGAAACATTTTCTACAATAATTTTTTACTTCAAGGTTATTTGTTGACAGGGAACCTCACTTCAAGGGTGTGTCTACACTACATGGCTCCGTCAACGGAGCCTTGTAGATGAGTTTACTAGACATAGGAAATGAAGAGGTGATTTAAATAATCGCCACTTCATTTACATTAAAATGGCTTCTGCACTGTACCGATCGGCTGTTTGGTGGCACAGCAGGGCAGTATGGACACGCTACGGTCAACAAGGGAAGCCTTTGTCGACCGCTCCAGTATGCCTCGTGAAATGAGGTGGCCATTTTGATGTAAATGAAGCAGTGATTATTTAAATTGCCGCTTCATTTTCCTATGTCTAGTAAACTCATCTACATGGCTCCGTTGAGAGAGCCATGTAGTCTAGACATACCCTAAGAGACAAGACAATGAAGTGACAGAGTTAATATTACAATTAGCAATAACATATATATAATATTGTCCACACCACTAGCACCATCAATATGGGGATCTCAAAGCAATGCATAAAAGAACAGTGAGGGACTGTACAGGAACCTGAGGTTGACAGAGAGAAGAGATGGGGTTTACACCCTGAGTCAGCGTTTCCAGAAATAGTAACTGAGGTTTGCTGACCCCTGAAACTGTGCCATAACTGAAGCACCATTCACCTGGAAATTATATGCGCATATACACAGACACACACAGACACGCACACCCATACACACACCCATACACACACACACATGCTGAAGAAAGGATG